TTTGAGTGTTGAAATGCTGGGCTGTCAGGTAGGTTGCTAACTGTGTCTCCTGCTATGTTATCACTTTAAAGACTAATTATGATAGCACAGGGGGATAAAAACAGCTTCTGCACTAAATATAGTATATTGGATTGGAAAACTGGCGAGGGAGCTGTGATACTGACTTACTACTCTAGCTTCAAAGGCAAAATAATTTTGATATGGACATTTAGGCTACATCTCTAAGACTTCAGTGGGATCACTGAAGTATTTGTAGACTTCTGTCATCTTTGGAGATTTTTTTCTGGACTATTTATACAGTGTGCTTTTGAAAAGTAGTATGGGATAAAATAGACCTCTAAGGCTGTGTAACAACTCTCCCACAAAAAGGTATATGCAACAGTTGAATAACCCAGTGATTCTGTAGGCATAATGGTGATGTTTTTAAATATTCAACTGCAGAAAAAATATTATTTTTATAGCGCCATGAATAATTAATGAGATTAATTGAAGAATTAGAATAATTGTTGAATGATGAAAATGCAGAAGTAGCAGTTCTGTGCATGGGCAGATTTCGTAGAACACTTACTGTATTTTAGGTTTATTATGTCCTAAGCCTAATGGCTAGGATAAGCAATCTAATATCCAAGTTAGTTACAGTGGGAGAGATTTGATCCAGCATGAATTAAGAAGACAAAGTGAGCAGAAATCGTTAGTGCATTATATTTGATTATTGTAAAATTCTTAAGAACACAAGCATTCATGTCATGTGAAGATAGAGAAATCATGAGTTCATTTTCTGTGAAGAAGTTAAGTTTCAGAAGGGTTTAAAGTTTAGTATAAAGAAGGACATGTGCATATGCAATGTGCAAGTCCAGCCATCTCACCTCACTGTCTGTCTTTTTGAGACTTGACTAGTGGAGGGCAGATTAAATTAGAATGTTAACATCAGTTGTTGATCACACCTGTTCCAGGATCCTTCTTTTTGCCAGCTGGAGACAGGTTCTTCCTCTTTTTTTTTTAAAAAAAAAAAAAGAAAAATTACCTTTATGTCAGGTACAGAACATCTTGAAGGAACTTACTCAGATAAACTTAAATCCTGGATAAGTGTTTGTGTCTGAGGTTCTTATATGAAAACGATTTCTAGGTTAAAACTTTTCAGAAGTGAAGTGCAGCTGTATGTAATAGCTCTTGAAAAGGTTTCTATTGCATGAACCCAAATAATTAAGAGCAATTCTAATGGCTTTGCTGTGCTAGGGCATCATGGTAGAGGGAGCACATGGTTCATGGAATGAAGGGACAGGTTAGCTGAAGGGCATTACACTAGAGAGAAGGATGCAGCAAAAATGTCAGTGCAAGATGAAACTTTGACTTGTTGCCTGTTGTGAAATGGGAGTAGTAAGCATCTTGATGTGGACTGAAATTGCATTATTTCACTGTTAACTTTTGAAATTGGCAAAGAGAACTTCTCTGTAGCAGGGGACAACTTTTCCAGTAGTGGGAAAACCCCGTTGTCCTTACAGAGCTTTTATTTTGCGTCTGACCACTGTAATCATAAAATCATAGAATAGTTAGGGTTGGAAAGGACCTTAAGTTCATCCAGTTCCAACCCCCCTGCCATGGGCAGGGACACCTCGCACTAAACCATGTCACCCCAGGCTCTGTCCAACCTGGCCTTGAACACCACCAGGGATAGAGCATTTGTAACTTTGTTGCGCAACCCATTCCAGTTCCTCACCACCCTCACAGTAAAGAACTTCCTCCTTCTATCTGATCTGAAGTTCCTCTGTTTAAGTTTGAACCCATTACCCCTTGACCTATCACTACAGTCCCTAATGAAGAATCCCTTTCTGGTATCCCTGTAGACCCCCTTCAGATACTGGAAGGCTGTTATGACATGTCCACGCAGCCTTCTCTTCTCCAGGCTGAACAGTCCCAACTTTCTCAGCCTGTCTTTTTGTTTTTCTGCAGGAGACAGCTGGGTGGTAAAGGCTTCATGGTTTATCCAGCCTGAGCTTTCATTATACTAGATCATTTTCCGAAATAGAAACTGGATGCTAAAACTAGTCTGTGCTTTGATTGTGTTGTAGTTTTGTATGTTCTCTGCTGTGAGGGTTTTGGAAGGCTGGTAAGGCTCAGCATACCTGAAGAAGTCATGCCTTCTGTCAAGGAATGGGTTGAATGTAATCTCTTCTATAATAATTTTCTGTGACCCTATTTTTTTATGCTAAACAGTTGTCTGTGACAGTTTTGCTTCACTGTATGGTAGTGCATTAATTGTGTAGTCTGTTATCTCTTGACTGAAATGCATATCTGGGTTGTTCTGTTTATAACAATTACTCCCCTGGCACACTTCACGCTTCTCTTTGTTTAGTAGACTAGAGAAGGGCATCTCTTTACTGACACAAAAGGACTCTTCTGACCAGATGGAAGAGCTGCAGATTTTCCACATCTTTATCCCCTGTTGTTCACCTCGAAAGCCAGAGCAGGAGAGGGGAATTACCTTTAAAGAGGAAGGATGCATATATCCGCCAAGTGCCTGGCTCCTACTTCAGTACTTGAAACTGCTTTCTCAGACAGGTTTTATATGTATGTCCCACTGAGAATGCAGGCTGTGCAGACTGCATTTATTATCAAAATATTACATAGGGTATTCAAGAGGAAGGAGAAAGAAGAAACCAAGTAAATTGGCTTTCTTCTAAACATAGAAAGCTTTTTGCGATGTCAGAGCGTCATATTCTTGTGGTGAAGAATATCCCATTGCAAGTCGTCTCAGGAGAAAACAGGGAAATGCACTTGAAAGGCTTTTTTATATACGTAAACTTCAGACTCTAGTTTATGGTCTGAAATCTTGCATCTTGCCCCTTTCAGTAGGGAAAAGAGGAACAGATCTTCAACTTGTGCATAAGGATAGCTCACAATTAAGTTTTCAGTCAAGAGTTTTTAAATGGTAGTAAGCACATAGTCTCGTTTTGGGTCTCACAGAACTTAAGCAAGTGATATAGTGGGATGGGGTCAGATATGTCACAGGCCTTTTTTGTTTTGTAATCTGATTTTTCCAAAATGTTTTGAAGTGTTGCTTGCTGTCATTTAAGTTGAGGAAGCAGGCATGATTTCATCCTGGCATCGGCTGAATAAATTTTCTGTGTACTTTTTCTGTTTGTCCTTTATGTGGCCTTTGTATCTGAGTCTGTTTTGAAAGTGAAGATCTGGTTGTTTCCCATAAGTAGTTAAAACGACTGGTATAGATGAAAAAGATACATGAAGAAAAATCTTGGTCTTTGTTCCTGTATCCTTAAGAGCTAAAAATTTGGTTGCTTCCCTCGCCCTAACTTACAGTTGTGTAGTCAAAGTAACAAGAGGTTTTGTGTCTCAATGTCTAGTGTATGAGAAGTTCATTAAAGTGATGTAGATGGGTCTGTCTTGAGTCGAATAGTGCTGACTTAGTGATTCTTTCCTTGGGATGTCTTATTTAATTTTTGAAATATCTCTTAATTCTTTTATTACTTACATTATTGGAATTTTTAAAGGCTTTGTTCTGTAAGCAGGCAGAACAGGACATGTCAATATTTGTCTGTGACCGCATCCTGCAAAAACACGGCAAGTTAGTCCTGTTGAGACTTTTTTAAAGATGAGCTCAGAATTTTGTAATGAAATTCATACCCTTTGTTAAAAAGCTTTGCGATTTGGGTGACAATGTTACGTGAACTAACAATACATGAAAGTAGCTAAGCAAATAGCAATTAAAACGTGGACAACAACTTCCAGTCATGAGGTGTTGTCGGTGCTGTTTTCAGATGTGCAGAGGGAAAAGCTCTCAGTTGTTCTTAAGTCGGCTGGTAACTGAATCCACATTTGTAGAGCTTGACAACAAAAGGCTTTTTGTTCATTTAGTATTCATCTAGGACATGCCGATTACTGAGCATAAACAGAACATAGTGCATGAGCAGGCCAATATAACATGTTACTCAAGTCATGACTTACAAGAAGTCCATAATTTGTATTAAAATAATTTAGAACTACATACAGGTGAGAAGCTCCTCCTTGGGGGAATTTAGATTTCTGCATGAATTAACACAAAGCAGTTACTTTGAGGAAGCATACACTGCAGTATTTGAAGTGGCAGCAAATGTGTAACCCAGGTAAATCTCTCTGAATATTGCTTGCAATAATTTCATTAATTTAGTGAGGCAATACTGACTGAGGCAAAGCCAGTGGGTGCTTGATAAAAAAAGCAACCTGAGCTGTTACTCCTGCTGTTTGCAAGTAAAGCACACTAAAGAATATTATTCTAATGCTTTTCCCAAAATTTGTTAAATTCCACTAAGTTTTGTTATCAGTGTAGTTGTCTGACCATATGTGATTTGCATGTTGAGTAAGCATGACTGACTTTCTCTGCTGGGGCCACTCAGCACGGTGCATCTTCTTACTGCTGGTGTGATACTTGTGCCTCCTGCACTCTTTACAAGAATCAGCATGGTTTTTGTAGGATATTACCCTAATCATGATGAATAAGCAGGAACGCAGGTGAAACTGTAGAAGAATTGGCATGTACAATTTTATTGATATTTTTCTGTTCATTACATAGACAGAACTAAAACCTGGTTAAAACCTGGTTAATCCTTGGTTAAAACAGGGACTGACTTGAAGGCATAATGTTTTATGTAGTGTTAGCTGTGCAAGTCATGTTCTTGGTTAAAACAGATGTGTCCAAAACCAAAAGTGTAACGGTTTCCAAACTATGAAATGCTTTGAGTGGTGATTTAATAAATAAGCACATCATTTTAAGTTGTCAGCTTGGGAATGCTTTTTTGGAGTATGGAACAGTAACTTTGTTTTTTCTTCTCCATTTGAGAAGTGTGCATGTTGCTTTGCCAAGTGGAAAGGTGTTCATGTGGGGAAAGCACTGAAAAGGATGAAGAGCAGATTTTAAGTTCTGTGTCAGTGTAGGGTTCTTACATTGGTCACTGGTTTAAACTCATGTTGTATTAAGACCATGTTCCTTTTCTGCCCTTTTTCAGGTAGTGGTGCTACAGCAGTTGTCCAGGCAGCACTATGCAAACCCAGGCAAGAACGTGTAGCAATAAAGAGGATCAACCTAGAAAAATGCCAGACCAGTATGGATGAATTACTTGTAAGTAAAGCAGAGGGGAACATACTGCATGGAGACTCTCTTCTGTTTTGATTTTGTTGTTTTTTTTTTTTTTTTCTTTTGCTTGGCTCAAGAGTGAGGGTAGAATTTTATTCAGGCTAATAGTGGGAAAAGGGTTTGAAAATAATCGGAAGGAATTATGCCCTTCCCCTGAAAATATATTCTGCTAACATACTTTTTCTAATGCCACAAAACCAAGAAGTTTAAAATTGGATTTTAGGTTAGCTAATTGTTGAGAACTGTGGGAAGAACCTTACACGTTGCCTTCTGGTGACTCGCTTTCAGGAGTTTATTCTCTGGTTATGTGTCTTTTAATACCAAGGAAAGATACATTTTGCTTTGATTAAACACCAATTAAAAATATAAGGGTAAAATTTGGTAGGTTTACTTAAAATGTCTAAAGCACCAAAACATGTGAAAAACTAGTTGTTGGATCATTTTGTAATGATAACTGTTGAGGGGAGAAGTAGGAATGGCTACACTGCCATCTACACAAGGAAACTCTTGTTAAAGCTAATAACATGCATTATTCCGATAGGCAGTAACAAGCCATTTGAGGAATGCTGTTTGTTTGGGTCACTGATCAGGGAAGGAAGGGGCCTATAAGAGGCTCTTTGTAAAAGGGACTGCAAGAGTTTTTTGACTGCACTGGTTATGGCAATCCAACGTCACAAAGAACTGTTAAAGAACAAAACCTGTTGCTTTCTAATACTTCTACTCAGGTGCTTATAAAATTAATGCTTATTTATATATAGGCAGCATAAAAAGAGTTGAAGGACAAAACCATTCTAAAAGTGAGAACACTTTCTTCTGTTCCACAGGTTTTACTACTGCCTAAAGACTGTGGGCTTTTTCTAATGCAGAAATTCCTGCCTCTGAAGGAAATGATCTCCTCAGCAGGGAATTGCCAGTGCAAAAGATATCTTGAATTTGATACAGAGGGTATGGTCCGTCCAGTTTCTTCAGATAAAATGGCTTTTTTTACAGTGGAGGACCCAAAATGCCTTTCCCCTTGTGATTGATGGCATTTGCTTTCAGTTTATGTAGCAGCTTGTATGAGATATTGTTGTGTTGTTTAAGAGGATTGTGGTAGTGGAAACTACCTCTGAGGTGGTGAGGCTCAACTCACAGAATTTATCTTTTGAGTTTGTCAACTACAAGCTCAAAAGATAAATTCTGATCTGTGTTTAGAAAGAGATGGTGAGATGCTGTGTATGATGTATTAACATTTACAGACCATAAAGAACATTTCTATACAGCCAGAAATACTAATCATTGTAATATAAAATGGTCAAAATTTGGTCTTGTTAGAATTTGAACCAGTAATGAGAATTAACAATTACTGGATTACAACAAATAAAACCAGACAAAACTGCTGAATATCTGCAGAGAAACTCAGGTGGTCTGGAGAAATTACTGCAGTTAGTTACCAGCTTGTACAAAGTTACCTTAGCAAGCGTGTGAGAATTTTTACTGCTGACATGTCTCTGCTGTCTTCCAAATGAGTCAATAGGTCTTGAATTTTTGGTCCCGTGCTACTTTCCTTTGGTACAAAGACAACTGTCCATACCATCTTTTCTATTTCTTTTAATGTAAGTCAGTTTCTGTTTTTCTGTGTTCAGATTTTGTTGTTTCTTTTATTTGTTGATTTGTTTTTACCTGAGTTCCTGGTTAGGAGGGTTTAAATAAAAAAAAAAAGAGCTATGTATGATTCATTTTTATATGGACACATGTGTATGCCTACACACACATAATTAACCCTTCTTCTGTGAGGGGAAATGTACTTGCTCTGTCTCAGTTCTAATAGATTTTCAAAGTAGTTTAAAATTAGAGATGTTACTCAGAAAAAGAGCATCATTGACCTTCAAAACTTGTTACAACTGTACTGACATTTTTATTTCAGTTGATTATACTTGGAATGCTCATCTGTTTTGGGGTTTTTAACCCTGTTTTCTGCTCGGTTTTCTGTCACTAATTTTTCTGACCAAACAGTTTCCATTGGCACAGGGATGTTCTAAAACTGCCTGCCCTCTGATCATGCTGTTCTGTAAACCCCTGCTGCTGAGTGCTTACGGATGGTGTGCAAAGGCACCCTTCACAAATTCTGAGCTGTGTGGCCTTCAGAGAAGCGGAAAATGTAGTGAGCCTGGTGCCCACGTTAGCAGATTTAGGATTTGGGCCAGTGTCAGTTAAAATAGAATGGCAGTGTGGGAGGGAGTTTAAATAATACTAATGTAACACAAACTGCCAAACTCCTGAAATTCGATGCTCTGTTTCCTGCAATGTCCTGTGTTCTCACTGCTGTAAGGTAAATGTAATTTAACCTCATGAGCCAAGGAATGAGTTCCTGTCCTTAGTACTGTGCTGACGGGACATCTTCTTCCATCCCCTTACCTCCTGTTCTTTTTCAAAAACAACTGAAAAAACCGTAACACTACAAGCCAAAGAATATTCTTATAGAATGGCTTATTTAATTGAATAGACTTTTCTAAATTGTTTGCATTTCTGGTCTGGATAGCCCTTCAAGGCAGGCTGGCTGGAGATGCCCCTTGGATGTTAAACCAGACCCCTCAAACAGCTGTACCCCAGGGGTCCACAGAGGGGGGCCCTGGGGAAGCACTCATAGAGCGGTGGCACCTGCCTGGTCCCTGGGAGCTGGACCCAGTCCTGTGAGTCTCAAAAGGAGCTGTCTGCCAGTTGTTTATTAACTATGTTATCCACCTGCCCTTAGGCTAACACACATTTTTGTGCAGCTGCTTAGTGAAACTGGATCAGGATTAACTTGACCAGAAAGAAGTTAGCTTTTAACCTGGACATGTTTCCTGATGCGGTGCACAGACGCTTGTTGCTAGCACAAGGGAGGGAGAAGCAGAGGGATGAGGGATGCATTTTTAAATTTAAAATTATTACTGCTCTTATGGCTTTGGTGTTATCCAATGTCTAAAGTGATGTGAATGTGAAGAAGGCTCTGAGGCATGCTCCTCGATGACCTGCTGCAAGCGTTTTCTCTGGCAGTGCATTTTATATGAATGCTTTTCTCTCTCACCTGTGCATAGCATGGGCCTCAGCCAAGTAACTGAAGTCTGTGGAGGGACACCCTTCTCTGTGTGATAGGGGCTGTCCAGAACAGCAAGTCTACAAATTAATACTTTCCTGACTGAAGTTTAATCCCTTATCTCTCGTGGAGTGCTTTCTGTTTGTTTATTTTTGTTTGACAAAGACTTTCTTTGAAGAAAAGTCACCAAAGCTGAGACAAAAGGTGCCTTTGGCTGTCCTTACTGTGATAGATCAGTTTTTGCCAATGAGTTGTTTCAGGCACACAAAATATTCTAAGCACTTTTCAGTTAAAGATGGTGAAGCTTACCACAGTTATTAGTTACATTTCTACAGTATTAATGTAATAACATTAATAATAACAGTAAATTAGTTACATTTCTACAGTATTAATGTGTGAAAAAAAAACTAAATTAGGTGTGTTTTTGCCCAGTAGTAGCAGATACACGTTTTGAGCCATTGCTGTATTACCAGCATAGGAAAACAATAAAACAATATAAGAAATGAAATAGTAACATGAGTGGGAGAGTTACAGTTAAGATTTAGTATGGGTAGCTGAACTAAGAGCCTGAGGCAGGAATTTCACTCGTGTTTAAACTGACATGTCTTCTGGGAAAGGGAAGTGTGCCCCATGTTATCTATCTTCTGTTTTCCACCTACTGTCTCCTGGCAGGGGGAGAGCTGTTTGCAAGTTGCTCAGTTATTCAGGTTCTATCCAGGCATTCATCCTCCTCTGGTTCAGGACTCAGAAGTTGTACAGGGAGGAGGACTTGGCAGCAGACTAGCTGAAATGTGTGTCAAATTACAACCTGACTCAGTAGTCACCAACAGGCATCACAAGATTAAATCACAGTCTTTAACACATATAATTAAGTTTTTATTAGAAAGTGGCTGCAAAAAAAGAGTCTTTGAAATGGCTGCTGAATTGAGGTTGAAAGTTGAAAATTGCATCTGTGGCAGCTTTAAGAGGGACTACTGTAGTGCCTGCATTGTGCCAGTGCTGCTGAGTCAGCATATAACCTGGGTCCACCTGAGAAAAGTTGCTTTTCAGGGAGGGAGAGGAGGTGGAAAAGGTTAGTTTTTAGCTGGGTTGGCTCCCTGACAGGCTCACCCTCCAGCAGCATGTCCTCTAGCACCATGCGATAGATCAGGGCTTTGTGGCCAGAGGTGGAGAGGGAGATGTAGGGTTGTGGGAGCTTGAGTTGGTATGAAGCCAAACCCTCTGGTACAGACAAGGCCTAAATGCTCCTACGTAAAGGTTAGGCAGCATAATGAGGGCTGCTGGAAAGGTGTTACAGAACAATTATGTGAAAGAGTGAATAGAAAAAGGACTCTGCTTGAAATAACAGATACAAGGCAGTCATTCTTAATGTGTACAGCTGTGGCTTGTCATAGATGGTGTTACTTGGTAGTGCCACGTTGTGCATCTGTTGGTGACTCCGCTCTTTAGTCAATTGTTTCCTCTGACTTTTGGTCTGTAACATTGATTTTCCTCTTGCACTTCTGTTTGATTGCGTGGCTCTGGTGACCACGTGTCCATGCCACAGTAGCTGAGCCAGTGGTGCTGTGTTCTTTGTCCAACACTTACTTCCTCCTTTTCCACCTGCTCCCATTCTACTCTTTTCATAACCCTTTTGAACAGGAAAGCAGTACGTTTTGTTCTTCCCTTGCATTTTGTTGTCCAGCCTATATCTGTACCTTCAGCTCTTGGAGACTGCTCATTCTTCATTGCTCACTCTGAATTTGGGACTTCTAACAGTAATTTCTGTGCTGTGCTCAGAAGAAAATTGGTGTACTTATGCCTGTATCTCCTGGCCAAACCTCCCTCCTGTTCTTTGCAATCATGTTTTGTCTTGCATGCAGATCTATAGGTAAATTGAAATGTTTTGGCGAGTTGATGCATATTTTATGCATACTTCAATTCTGTTGTAGTACTTCACTTTGGAAATTGAACTTTCTCTCTATACAAGCAGAACTGATAGCTGGCTGTGTTATGTTGGGCTTTGTATTTCTTACAGAAAGAAATTCAAGCAATGAGTCAATGCAATCACCCCAATGTGGTGACCTATTACACATCTTTTGTGGTGAAGGACGAACTTTGGTTGGTTATGAAGCTGTTAAGTGGGGGTAAGTTACTGGTTTTGCTTGTTTAGCTGCAAGTAAATTGGATGATTTTTTTTCTAATGTACCTTCTTTGGGTTAATTGATGCTAAAGTAGGAGTGGGGAGGGAGACTCCATGGAATGAAGCTCAAGACATAGCAGGAATATGCAGATTTTGAAAGTTTGTATATGTGTATTGATAGTGCAGACTGAGAATTACTAAGATAAATTCTGCTGATCTAACTACTGTATTTTTTTATTCTGTATCAGTATAATAAAACTCTATTAAGGCTTTGTAGGGAAAATGGATGAGAATGAAGTCATTTCTGTCAGTGTGGCCTTTTTTTTGTGTTTCTCTAGAATCTACTCTGTTTTTGTAGAAGTGCATATATTTCTCATTTCTTCAGTGTTTTTCAGTCTTTATTCAAGTAAGATTCCTCCTAGGACAAGCATTATATGTGTTGCATCCTATTTATTGCTCAAACTAACCAAATACTCATTACAGTTTTTATGATGATGATTGATAGTGTAAAAATCTTATTTGTTTCTTGAAGAGGAAAAAGGGGCTGAACTGAATGTGCTTGCAGCTTAGAAAAGCGGGGTTCCAGCATAAGATGTGGTGGTCTTGGTTGTTACATGATGTTCTTCAAGATTAGTCTTGAGGGCAGCAGACTACTGCACCATCATGTTAGAAAGCAAGGATGGGATGTCCTCATAAAAGAACATTTCTTACGTAACATTTGATTTGATTGTTCAGTTCAATCAAAAGCAAGCATAGACCCTGAGAGAAAACTGATTCATGAGAGGAACTTACTGTGAGCTGCTGAAAAATGCTTGGATAAAAAGAAAATGTTGCTGTTAGATTCCTTGAGATTTCTAATAACTGAAGTTCAGTCTAAAACTGGGTGTCACTAGGAATGTTGTCATCATTTGTTGGCAGAGACTACCTCCTTCCAGTCTTGCATGTCTTCATTGTGGACACATGAGCCATAATCTAAGCAGGATAATAAACCAAAACCTTTGCTGTTAAATGTGGGATACTCCAGAATTTTTAATAAATGCTATGTTAGCAAGCTGTTAGCAGATCTTTCTAATGAATCATTGAGTGTCACAGTATTCTTGACAAAAATGGTGCTTTCTTGTTTGAAGGTAGTGGTGTGCTTTGTTCCGAGAACTTACATGCAAAGACTTAAATTGCGGTAGCATGAAAAGAATGAAGAAATATAAGTTTCTCAAAAATTTGATTGATAATTTTGTTTATATGCTTCTTTTCTGGATCTTCAATGTAGGTTCAATGCTTGATATAATAAAGTATATTGTGAACCGAGGTGAGCACAAAAATGGTGTCCTTGAAGAACCCATAATAGCAACAATTCTTAAGGAAGTTTTGGAGGGCTTAGACTATCTACACAGGAATGGGCAAATTCACAGGTAGGATCATATACACAATGAAAAGCATTTTCAAAGTTGTATGTATTGTTTGTTAATACTGGTCAGCTGCAGTTGCTTGGCTAAACAAATTGTACGGTCCCTTTCACATACCGTAAATGCCATCAGTAATTACCAAATAATAATGCCCAGGCAGATGCTGTAGTCTTTACTGCAAGTTGTCACTAATGCTTAGTACTTGCCTGGTCTTTACTCTGTTTCTCCTACAATTAGGATAGGTCTGTGCTATACTAAGTATGCCAGGACTGTGGTCTATGTTCTTGTGTCTGCTGGTACTCCAGATAATCTGATCTGAATCTAGTTTGTGTGATATGGTCTGTGACTTGGTTGTTGTGTTGCACAGTAAACCTGTAACATTGGGCACACAGGCACTGCTATATAATGTGAAATTTATTTTTTCCTGGTAATCAGTAATGTCTGTTACAGCTCTACAGACCTCTATGACCACACATGAAGCTGGTATTAATACTGTGGAACTACATCTTGGTGTATCATCTAGTGATTGCTCTCTTCTATATATTCTGTCTCCACTGACTTCCTCAGTGTAAATTGTGCAGATCCCCTAGGATGATTTATCCATATCTGCTGTAGCAAACCACAGGTTGCTTCCAGTGTTTAGGTGTTGGAAGGGCTGTACTCTGACCTCCCTAATTAATTTTACTGAGGTGAATTTGCCTTTAAAGGGAGGTTTCTACAACAGGCTTTCTGTCTGTTCCAAACACTAGCCTTTTATAAGCGAATCTTTTAAATAAAAATCATATTTGCTGCAGACAGAACTCTGAGAATGGAGGTAGTGCAGATGTAGCAGGGTAATTGTTCTTTATGTGTACTTCTTATGCCTCATCTTATAAATGAACTGCTTCTGATATAAATCAAGAACCATCTCCTCCCTTTGCAGAGAGAAAATTGAGATAAATGGAGAAATAAAGAACAATTATCTTGACTTCTGGTCTGGAATGCCAAAGATCTGCCTCAAACCTTAATTCGTAATCTTCTGTTACGCTGATGTTGCAAAAGGAACATTCGTTAGCTTTTAAGGATACATCTGTTCTTTAAGGAGACATCTATTTGTACACCTGAGATTTCTCCTTTTTTATAACATGTAATTTGTAAATGGTGCAGTACCATAGAAGTCCTGTTCAAGACAACAGAGTGTGCTTTTCTTTTTTCATGTATGTTGTGGTATTTCAGGGAACGCTATCCAAATGGTATTTGCCAGTTGGAGATGTTTCCAAATTGTTCAGGGATTTTGTTCTGCTATTTCAATGCAATCTTTTTTATGCGTAAGGAAGCAGGTTATGTTACCTTTCAGTAGGAATGTGTTAATAATTTTCAGTGAATATTGGAAAGATTAGTTTGCTCAGATTCTTAACCATTTATGATAACGTTCTGCATGAAAGATTTATCCTGTGCATTAAGAATGGGGTGCATATTTCTGTAAAAAAAAAAAAAACCCCTAACCCAAAACCCAACAACAACAAAAATGAAAACCAACAAAAAAAAAACAACCACCCAGAAAGTTTCTTAACGATATGTGTCAGTGATGTGTTAAATGGATATAGTGACTGTTAAGCACATGCTGCATTTTTGACAGTTTCAGTGTCAGATAACCGATGACAAAATATGGTTGCTATTTGTGAGCTTTTCGTAATTTTATTGAGTAGAAATCTACAGTATATTTACCTTCCTTGAAAATGGGTATCTTCTCTGACGAAGTCAAAGAGGAGAACTTTTTCCAGCTTTTCATTAGTGGTGCAGTGGGATGTGAGAGCATTAATTCTTGCTTTAAAGCTCTGAAAGTTCTCAGTTTCTCAGATTATATTTACAAAAGGTGGTAAAACAGACTTTGGACCTCAGTATTTTTGTTCTTAAAATCCATCCCTGGATCCTTCTTGTTTTATGCCAAAGATGAATTTGGGTCTTTTATAAAGAGAGAGAGTTTATGAGAGTTTGAGTTCTGCACTCTCTTTTATTGTAAATCAAATTGTTTTTATACTTCGGTCTCTGTTTCTGTCTTTTAAATTTTAAAATGCTATTTTGTGAAACTAGAATACAATATGTATTTATCTATGAAAATGTGCATGCACGTACTTTCATACTAACCTCTGTTTGTACATTCTAGAGATTTGAAGGCTGGCAACATTCTTCTGGGTGAAGATGGCTCTGTACAAATAGCAGGTAATGGTGGTGGTAGAATAATGACTAAATAAAAGGAAATTGAAGCAGAATTAGGGGCAAAAGATACAAATTTTTCTGTTGGCTTTTAACTGTTCCTTCTGGCAGGCTGTAGCTGCAAGTTACCCAGTTTCAGATTTCAAGATTCTTGATTAATGATACATGATTTAGAAATTATTCAATATTTTTCTGTGTTCCATCAAATATATTGGTAAAATTTTAATGTCCTCTTGATGTTTTCTTTTGAATCACCTATGTATGATGGCTGTAACTTGTCACTGAGATGCATGAAATATATTTCACTGCAAATTATTTTTGGCATTTCTACCATTTGTCTTGTAATGGTATTGGTTTGATACAGTTTAGCATCTTAAGTGTCCTCTGAATGTATTGATACGCTTCTTGAGTGGTAGTCTGTAAGAATCAAATTATTTGGTGTTTATAAAAGCTTAAGTACTGAGCAAGACCCCATATCTCATCTCTCAAGTTAGTACTGGATATCTGGAAAATAGAGTGAGCAAATGGTGATACATGCCCTCTCTCCCAGTATACTCTCAGGCCTTTCATAGTTCATAGTTTATGACCCAGCAATGAAAGCATTGTTTAGTAGCCCTCAGTAATAAAAATGGCTATAGCCAGAAGTTCTTTTTTTATATGAACAATGCTTTCAAAGTACTGTGTAAACGTATATTTTAAAGGCTATATATAGTATGCCAGTGTCGTAAATCTATGGGACTGGATGGGCAGAGATTGGCTGGCAGGTAAACCATTGGAGCAGTTTTAAGTCTTCCATTTTGAGTTCAAGACTTTTAAAGTAGGTACTCAATTTTACGGACTTGAATTCTAATGATACTTAATATTTATTTATTCACTTGATTTTACCCCACAGTTGTCTTCGCTTTGCATAGCACTCTGGACAACTGCTGAGATTCTAGGTCTTGTGTTGTTCAACTGTTATTTAGATCTTCTCATATTGTAAAGCAGTAGATGTCCAAACAGCCAACTTAATTAAAAATAATAACTGAAAAGTTGAAAGATAAAAATCTCCTGAGTCATCTGAAACAAGGGTGTTGACTTTAGATCATTACTTTCACACATAATCAAAACTACTCTTCCAGTAGTCTGATAACATTCAAACAACAGCTTCATTTATCCTTTTCTAGTTCAGTTCCAGGACTTGGCTTCTTGACCTTTTCCTCCTTTTTGCTGTAGGCATCTTAATGAGTAAAACTTTAATTGTGCTTCTAGGGCATTCCATTCTGTGTGGCACTGAGGAAGTTCAGTGGCTGGATAGATACGTGGGATGTCTCTTTCTGTGATGTATTATTTCAATACCAGGTTGTTTCTGATGTTCAGGTGAAAAGTGCAGCAGTGTCAAACTAGTTTCTTTGTTGGGCTGGGCTGTTCTCTTTGGGACAACTGAATGTTGCAGATTAAGTGATAGCCAATTTTGAATGTCAAAGAGGCTAAAATTCATCCTTTTGACATCTTTTTGCCATGACAAGGTAAAACTTCCTTTCATCTTAGGGCAACGCGTATCTCATAATTTTACTTCTTTTTATTCGTTAGAAGAACTTTCATTGTTTTGACTGCTTTTTCTCCTGTACCCCAAGGTTCTATAATGAAATGATGTCTCCATAGCACACACTGCTAATGTGTATGTGGTGTAATATTTGAGGACAGAGTTGCCCGTTAGGATTTCTGGGTTCTGAGGGACTGTGTCTCTCACAAATGAAGCTCACCCCAGTGCTTTTCTGACAAAAGACATTGTGTAGATATAGAAGAGCATAGATTCTTCAAAGAATTGGGGTAGCTCTACAGAGACCTCCCATAATGGACCTTGCAGGTTCTGCACAGAGAATCTGCTCAGTCTTTGGTGGGAAAGAGGAAAATACACATTTTTGTGTAAATTGTGGAGGTTGTTTTTCTGAAAGTATGAAGTTCTGCTGTACAGAGCAGGAAACTTGAATTTTTCACAAATATAATATTAAACAGTCACTGCAGCTCCTCAGCTCCAACATTCTACTTAAAATTATTGGGTTTGTAACATCTGGTGTTGAGCAAACAAGGTGATTGGTACTTCATCAGGGTTTCTGCTTTCTAAAGTCAAAGTACGCAAGAAACCAGTGAAGCAGCAGATGTGTAAGGAGCAGATATGTAAGGAACATGTAGCAAAAAGCAGTCATACACAGCGATTAGTGGAATGTGTAGAATGTATGGGCTGCATGATGCATTTAGTCCATACAAGAAATGACAGTTTCAGTAAAACCTGTCAGAAAAGGAATGCGTGTTTTTAGGAATCTTGGCAGAAGATCCTTCTTTTTGGTTTTGTGCGTAAGTGGCTGTGTGAACTCACCCATTGCACCAGTGGTTCTCAGGGTGTTAATTCCTGTGGTAATCCATACCCACAGAAATGTTTGGGAAAAGATCTGTTGAAAAATATGCAGAGCCTCTGTCTCAGATACTCAAACCAGATGCAGGAGAAAGATTTAGCAGGGACAGCTGTGGCAGCCCAAGCTTTCCTTGGCCAGCTGCCTTCTCATAGGGACCATGTGCTTTATTTCCCTATCTTAACCATAACCCTACCCATGGCCTTGGCTGAGCTTTAGTCCAAAGTCCACCACCATTGCCAAGGTGAGAAAGTTAGGATGAAGTATTTTTGCAGCCTGTGTCTTTCTGCAGCAACTGCTTTGCAGCTTCCCTGCCATGGAAGCAGTGGCTTTGTCTTTCTCCCAGGCCTGATCCCTAGAGTTTGGTTATGGCTGAGGTTTGGCCAAGAGCCTGAGTCCTGACTGAGGTGAAAAAGGTGTTGGGTTCAAAATGTTTTTGCAGCCTGTATCTTCCCTTAGTGGTCTCTTTGCAGCCCAGCTCCCTTGGAGGTCCTAGGCTTCGTCTCTCTCCCAACCCAATGCCTAACACTAACTCTGGATTGTTGGCTTTGGCTGAGGCTTGGCCAAGTGCACAACCCTTGTTGAGGTGAAGAAGATATTAGGGAATAAATAATTTGTAAGCTATGCTTATTTGGGCAGCTCTATTTAATTTCAGAATGCTTTACTAATACAGTTAAATCAGGGCTCTTCATTAAGTTTGTTTTTCCTTTGGTATTAGCTATGACTTTTAATGCCTAACACTGTTGAATTGTTCAGCTCTTTCCTTGTAATAAATTTCCCTTTCTTTATGTAACTTGTTCTCAGTAATAATTCGTCTCCTATGTGATAGGAAGCTTGCCACTTGTCCTGGGTTCAGCAGTAGCAGTCATGTTTCTCCTCCTTGGTAGCTGGTGCAGTGCAGTGTTTTGACTTTCGGCTCGGGAACAGAGCTGATAGAGATGTTTTGGTTTGGCCAAGGACTTTGTGAGCCTCATGCTCTGCCAGGGGGGAGGGGAAGCCAGGAGGAAGCAGAGACAGGACACCTGACCCAAACTGACCAAAGAGGTATTCCATACCACAGCACGTCATGCCCAGGATGTAACTGGGAGTTAGCCGGAAGGGCTGGGAGACTGCAGGGTTGGAGGAGGTATCGGTCGGAGCTTGGTCGGGCTTGGGGGGCGAGTTATCGGTCAGCGGGTGGTGAGGTGTTGTATTCTGTTCCCTTGTTATTTCCTTTATCATTATTATCATTGGTGGTAGTAGTAGTGATTTGTGTTATACCTTAGTTACTAAACTGTTCTTATCTCAACCCGTGGGAGTTGCATTCTTTTCGATTCTCCTCTCCGTCCCTCCGAGAGCAGGGGGAGGGCAAGAAAGGGGGGGAAGTGAGCGAACGAATTACCTGACTGGGTTTAAACCACGACAGTTCTTTTTGGCGCCCAACGTGGGGCACGAAGGGTTGAGATAACGGCAGATCTGACTGGATTAATAGTCACTCGTCACAATGACGATTTATTGGCTCTCAGAGTTGTTCTTGTTGATCTCACAGCTTCAGACCATTGTAACTTACGTAGAGCCGGTATTTGCTGTGATAGTGTTTATCAAGTGTGGGGCCTGGGCTAAGGTTCTTGTCTCACTGTGCTTTATGGCAATGGCTTGTAATACGGGCGGGCTCCAGCAGCAGGGCGGGACGGACGTGGCCGTGGACTTGTACCTGGCCGTCCGGTTGCTCTTCACCATCCTGGCCCTCACCCTACTCTCCATCTTCGTGAGGCTGCGGGGAGCCGAGGGGGAGCGGCCCCGGGAGCCGGCGGCTGCTGAAGCGGCTCAGGAGAGCGGCCCCGGGGACCAAGCGGCGGCAGGAGCGGGGCCGGAGGCCGCGAGGGGACGGCTGCCGGTGGAGGAGGTCGGGGCGGTCGAGGAGAGGAAGGAGGCGGCTGCAGAGCAGCGGGAGAAGGCGGCGGAGGAGCCGAACCCCGCGGCCGAGCCGAGCCCCGCGACGGCCGAGAGCATTCCCCGGCAGCCACCCGCCGAGCCCCAGGAGGATGCAGGAGACCACGCAGCATTTCCCAGCAAGGCAGAGGAGGAAGAGCTGGACTCAGGAAAAGAGAAGCTGGTGGTGGGAGAGCCGGCAAGCACAGCAGCTACACCAGCCCCAGTGACAAGCACAGCAGCATCGTTTGAGAGTTCTGAAGGCTCTGAATGGCCTTTGGGTATCCTTGGGACCTGCCTGCTGATTGTGATGGGGATCAGCATGTTGGCACACACACAGACTGTGTTCTACCCACAACCGTTTTGTCTGATCTCAAAAGTTAAGCAGAGTCAGGTTTGGGTCTTGTCTGGGGTTAGACGACAATATAGGGGGACCAAGAGGTTTTCCCCAAGGCTGGACAGTCATGAGTGGCAGGGTGTGTGGGACAGTATGGGCAAGTATCTAGTCCACTGGGCCCCCCCAGTGCTTTGGAAGCGTCGGAGATGGAAGGCAGCTGTATGGAGTCCCCAGCAACAAGCTGCAGAAACTGCTGAAGGGGACAGTGAATTATTTTAAGCCTGGTGGGCCCATGGCACTTCAGGCCGTCAGAGCAGAGATGCAACATAGAGATGGACTCATGATCGAGGGGTGGACTTAGCAATGGACACTATTGCCCAGGTTATTCACAAGTGTGAACACTGCACACAATCTCTCCTGCTCTGGAAGTCTGTTACAAGAGATGAAGCCTGACATGGACCAGATGGACGCAGCAGCTTTATAGGGACTGGTCCATGCACTAAGATAAGAGTGCACCGAGATAAGAGTGATGGTATATTGAAAATGTGGGATCTGAGCATGACGTGAATGGTATGGAATAAGGGGTGGATAATGTCCTGGGTTCAGCAGTAGCAGTCATGTTTCTCCTCCTTGGTAGCTGGTGCAGTGCAGTGTTTTGACTTTCGGCTCGGGAACAGAGCTGATAGAGATGTTTTGGTTTGGCCAAGGACTTTGTGAGCCTCATGCTCTGCCAGGGGGGAGGGGAAGCCAGGAGGAAGCAGAGACAGGACACCTGACCCAAACTGACCAAAGAGGTATTCCATACCACAGCACGTCATGCCCAGGATGTAACTGGGAGTTAGCCGGAAGGGCTGGGAGACTGCAGGGTTGGAGGAGGTATCGGTCGGAGCTTGGTCGGGCTTGGGGGGCGAGTTATCGGTCAGCGGGTGGTGAGGTGTTGTATTCTGTTCCCTTGTTATTTCCTTTATCATTATTATCATTGGTGGTAGTAGTAGTGATTTGTGTTATACCTTAGTTACTAAACTGTTCTTATCTCAACCCATGGGAGTTGCATTCTTTTCGATTCTCCTCTCCGTCCCTCCGAGAGCAGGGGGAGGGCAAGAAAGGGGGGGAAGTGAGCGAACGAATTACCTGACTGGGTTTAAACCACGACACCACTGTAGGTCATGTCTTTTCTTAAGTAACCAGTATTTGTGAAAGCTATGCCTGGAAGGGAAATTAAAGTCTAGTTTTTATTGAGCAGCTGTCAAGGTGTTCTTTCCGTCTATAAACATGCAACCATGTTTGACTAGTATTATACTGAAATGTTCACTTGACTCAAATACTCATCACATCTTTCTCAGGTGTTAACAATACTTCATTTTGAAGGTCATGCAAAAAGAGAATTTACTTAGTTTTTTGTTTTGCTTATTTTTCTTCATGTCCTCCCTCTCCCATTTCTGTTTATGTTTTGTTGTCCTTTTCAAAATCAGTGTTATCTTAATAGGGAAGAACAGCAGTAGGGGAGCAAAGGTTAAGTCAGGATTTTAGCTGGGTGTCTCAGTTCCTGAAAGGACCTGTAAAAGATCTACTTTATTTTTTTATTTCTGCCTATTCAGCTTTTCCTTACATAGAATAGTTCCTATTCTGAAAACTGTCACTAATACCAGTGCTGAGTTTTAGGGCATGAAAAACTTCGAAGCAGGTGTTTCTGAGGCTGTTCATGCTTTTCAAAAATATGTATAAAACCTGTCTATTCTTGTAACTTACAGACTTTTGGGAGAAAAAATAGGGGTTTTTATTCATCAGGCAAGCTGCAGGGAAAATTAAAGAATGTTGCTTGAAGCTTGCTTCTTGGCTACTGTTTCTTTGTGTTCTAATGATGTAGAAGAGGTACAGAATTTGAGTCTGTGATGCTTAACGGAAAGCAGTAAAATTACATTTTCTGTAGTTACTATTTGGTTTTGTTTTGTTTTTTTTTTAATTCACAACAAAAAATAGGAAAACAAAAATTGAAGTACATCTATAGGAAACTACTTGATTTCAGTGTGACTGAAATACTCTTGATATAGCTCTAGTCAAAGTGACAGTATTTCTCCATACATTGGTAACATGCTCTTCTTTCTTCCATTTTCCTCCTGTGTCTCTCATACAGCTGTTCCTGACATAGTAACAGGTTAACAGAACAGTTCTTTTTTATATATATGTATGTTGGAATTTGGAAAAAGCTGTGTCATCATCTAATATTAAATACATGTTGTTGATCACTTTGCTGGTTATTTTTGATTTGTTAAACCTCCATGAGTTTTAAAATTATATATAGTATTCCCTCTTGTTTAAAGTGCTTTCAAATTTGATAGCTATACTGAAGTAGCTCCTTATTTTTGAAGAAAAGCAGATGCAGACCGTTCAAAACTTGGCTCAGAGTGCACATTCAAAAACCTTAGGTGGCAAATGTACTGGAGCCCTTTGTAACCTTATTCAGGAAGACACATACTAGGAGGTTAAACTTGAGGATGTCCTAGTGTAGATCTTCCAGACGAAACTGTACCGTCTCTTCCATAGCATTTCAACAATAATGTGTCATGAAACAAAGGTAAGCTCTGCAATGGAGAGTTACTGTTAGTAGGCCTTTACGAATTGACTTAATTTCTAAAGTGTAAAAGTTTTGCTTTGCTGTTTATAGTTTAACAGATTTTGACTTCTTTTTCCCCCCTTCCCAGATTTTGGTGTTAGTGCATTTTTAGCAACAGGAGGTGACGTTACTCGTAACAAAGTAAGGAAAACGTTTGTTGGTACTCCATGTTGGATGGCCCCTGAAGTAATGGAGCAGGTATTCTTAATTTTAAACAAACCAAAACCCAAAAAACCCCAAACTTTCACTCTTTAATTTCTTGAACTTGAGATATCACTAACCTGTTTTTCTTTTCTGGTTCTATTCCAGGTGCGAGGTTATGACTTCAAGGCTGATATGTGGAGTTTTGGGATAACAGCCATTGAGTTAGCAACAGGAGCAGCACCTTATCACAAATACCCTCCTATGAAAGTAACAGTCACTTTGTATTCTTAATGCTGTTAGCTGTATTAATTCTGCTAGATAGTTACTACTGCTTCATTTCCAATAGCAACTCAAGATGTCTAAATATATGTATTCTGTGTAATATTATTCTCCTTTAATTTCCACATGCTTGGATTTGATTTTGTTTACAGTACCTCTTCTTTGGGTTTACTGTAGGTGCTAATGCTGACACTTCAAAATGACCCTCCCACTTTAGAGACAGGTGTAGAGGACAAGGAGATGATGAAAAAGTATGGCAAGTCCTTTAGAAAACTAATTTCATTATGCCTTCAAAAAGATCCTTCCAAAAGGTAGGTCATTTTTGCCGTGTACAGTAGAATTATTTTTTTTTAAATACACAGGCTACTTAAGTTTCCAGTGTTTAAACACCATGTTTAAGTGTATGATTTGAATTTTGTGAATAGCAGCCTTCAGTCATCTTTGTTTGAGGAGAAGAAATTGCCTCTTAATTGTCATTCAGGTTTTTTTCTTCTTCTGGGTGGTTAACCTGCTTTATTTATTATACTGTTGAATCAAACTCTGATCAAACAAAAGTGCTTGCTCTACATGTTAATCCTCATCTGAGGGAAGGTATAAATCTGGATATTGTGCATAAGTCTAACAAGACTGTTTAGACTGAGCAGAAGGAACTGTTGGTAACCAAACACATCAGTTTCTTGGCCTTTAAAATAAATAAAAAAAAACAACTTTATTTTTATTTTTCTTATTTTGTGACATAAACTTAGTAACTTGGATATTTCCAGAGAAAATTACTTATTAAGAGGTATATATTTTTTTACTGTAAAGTTAGAGGCTCTAAGCTCATGTAGAGTTTTCCTCATGTTTATGTAGTCAATTGCATGTCGTAGTATCTTTATGATTTGTTCTTGCTGTGTTTTGTGAATGAGATAGCCAAGATGATGAAATTTTTGAACAGCTGTTTCAAAACTATTGCTGAGGTCCCAGGTTCCCAGAACAATTAGTTTATTTATCCTTTATTAATTTTTATGCTGACCCATTGTTGTAGGTTTCTTTTGCTGAGGAATTGGAGCAAGCACATTCTAATTAACATTATTTCCTAAGGGTATTTAATGTATCACTTTTTTTTGAAGAGTTTCAGAGCTGGTATTTCTATGGAAAGAGATAGTTCTGAGAGAACGATACTGATTGAGTGTGGGTCTTTTATGGTGGGTATTTATCTTTATTGATGTTGTGCTAGCTTAATCCAGGATGTTGTTGTAGGGAGTCAAGTCAAAAAGGTGACAGCAGCAATACTAGATAAAACTAGGATAATTAAGAAAAAGATTGTGTGGCAACTTCTTTATTCTTGAAATCTTTCACATTCTTCTTTTTTTTTTTTTTTTTTCACTGAGAGGTCATTTGTGTATAGTTTCAGATTCCCAAACCCCTTACAATTGGTGGTTTTAGTAGCAAGTGTTAAGCTTAGCACTGCAGTTAGGCTGTTTACAGATAAGGATGAAATGTGTGACATATAATCAAGCTTCTTTTAGTTTCCAGTGCCCAGCAAGTTTAAGGTTAAGATTAAATTGGTATGCAGACATGAGAAGTTGAGAATTAAAATGGGTTTTCCTTCTCTCCTTGAATACATAGTGCTGAGTTATTTGATCTGTAGTTACCAAATCAGTGTTGAAATACTAGTGTTTAAACTAATTATGCTAATTTATTACACTGAGATTTAAACATGTGCAATAGCTTCATACTTGGGATTGCCTTGAATTGAACAATTAGACCAGATAGGTGCTTAGATCTGTGTGCCAGTTATTCTAACTGAGTAGTGAGTGTCCTTATATTGTGGGGTCATTGCTATTTTTTGTTTCTCCCAATCCAGAATATAATTTTGCATGGAGATGCCTCCATTGATGTTGTATCAATTGTGGAAGAAGTGCCTGTTCTTTGTGGCAAATCTGGGGACTGGGTTTGCACTAATGTTTCAGACCATGATGTTTTTCTTTTTGGGATCTGCATAGGTGTTTCTCTCCAGTGCCAAGGATGCTGCTTACAGTCCTCGGTTGCAATTCATTGCCATGGCCTCTGTGGAAAACAGGCCCAGAGGGCATGTCCAGAGCAGTTCAGAAGTGTCTGGCATAGTTAATGGTAGAGAAATGGAGAATACTAGTTTGAATAAAACTTCGCTAAGGATCAGGCTTTTAACTGTGCATATCCCTGTTACAAGATGTGATGGTACTGGATCACTGAAACTTGTCTTGAAGTTAAGAGTTAATTTGAAATAGGGCTTTAAAATTTTGACCCAAAAGGTGAATGCTCCCCTTTTTGCTCATCCAAGATTTATAGGTGAATTACTGCTAAGCCTCATGGTACTGATTCCACAGTACCACTAATAATAACTCTTTTACTGTAGAGTTTGGTGTTTTGGAGGAGAAAAGAAATACATGCTGTGTGGAACTAGTATGTGTTTCTAAATTGGATGCTTTTAGTTGATGTCGGGAGTTTCATTATTTCTAGTGGGAGTGAGCTGATATGTGCATACACACTACTTAACACTACTTAATATTTCACTTGCTGTTCAGATATGTCCTTGGAGAAATAAGATAGTTCAAATTTCTTTTTTTTCTCTTGAGACCAAAATTTTCCAGATTTCAACTTCCCATTGTCTTACCTAGTTTGTACTATATCCAGTCTCTTGCTCTAATTCAAATTGGAAACTATAGCAGATGTTGCTTCTGTGCATTTAGAAATAATGACTCCTGGAGATTTTGGTTTCCCTAAATTTAGCTGTGTCAAAATTACTCTTGGCTGTGGGGGTATGGGCTCCTAATGAAAAGAGCCTGGAGGATTTTATTTCATCCCAGGAGATGCTTTGCTTTCTCTTCAGAGTCAGCTTCAGTACTAGAGTCTGCCTTTGCCTAGATAAGTAGTTTTTTAGATCCCTGAAGCTAGGAGAGACAAGTCCTGCTGTTTGAATTTGGTAGCTGTGAGATTGTGGTTATCTGTTGAAAATGTCAAAAATCCTAAATTTGGCAATGATAGGAAGAAAAAGACTTAAGCAGAACTGCAAGTAAATATGAAATGCCTGGGCTGCTTTGTTTTTTTTATTTGTCAGTTTGGGTGGAAGATGCTCCTGATGACTTTCTGTTTGGTTTATGCATCATACTGATAGTGTCAGTATAGTTTTTTTGTGAATGCCTGCTGACATCAACAAAGTATAAAAGAATGCTGGTATCAGGTATTGGTACTGCTGTTTGGAAAATGTAATTATTCTTTTATTGCTGTGGAGCAAAGCTCGGTTGCATCCATAGGGTCTCCGTGGGGCAGAACGTAATACCTGATTATGTTTTTATTTGTTTTAAGGATAAAATACATTTCTGTTGAAAGAAAAAGGGGGGAAATTGGCAACTTAGAGGCTGATTTTTATTTTTTTTTGTATTTTTGCCGTAGAGAGGCTTATTTTTTTCGTATATGGTGAGTATGTGTGAATTAATTCAGTAGCTATTTGTCATTCATTCCCCATTCATACAGTACTAATTCAAAAGTGTTAGAGACGTACCATTTAACTAACGTCTTGTACTGTATTCACTGAGAGGGGTCTTTGTTTTCTGTTCTAATTTATTATTGATCTTTCAGGCCCACAGCAGCAGAACTTTTAAAATGCAAATTTTTCCAGAAAGCCAAGGTAAAACGTTTAACCCTACAAGTAAATTTTGCTCTGCCTTAAAATCTACATGAAATTTCTTCTTGCCTTGTATTGATTTTTAACTTACCAAATGTTGGTTTTGCAGAATAGAGAATACCTGATTGAAAAGCTTCTCACTAGAACGCCTAATATAGCACAGAGGGCAAAAAAGGTGAGTGTACTTGCATCTTTTTTTTTCTTGATTGGTATGCAAGAGAAAGCAACTCATGAGTTGTCTTACATCTTACTTGACTGATTGAGATGTTCTCTTGGGCAGTCCTTCAGAGGTAGTGACTGTTGAATTAATGGTTTCTGCAGCCTAGCTTTCTTCAAGAAGCCCTGGGGCATTTTGACTTCCTTTCTGGCCTTGCCAAATGATACATGGGATTTGTCATCATACATGATACTTTTTTTCCCCCTTCTCTTCTAGAAAGCTATAGGGAAAAGGTTGTGCAAATAAAAGTGAACTGTGAGCCTATAGGCTCATGTCTTCATTGATCACCTAGAGAAAACAAAGATACGATATATGGTGTTTACTGACAACTGCCTGGTTCTTTGGATTATTTTGAATGTGATGCTCAAATACATGGAAGTCAGGCCCAAACTCTGCAAGAGTGCTGCCGAGTTATTCAGACCACTGCAGCCTTATCCCACAGGAGATGGAGTGAAATGCATAGCTGTAGCATATGCTGGTATTTCTTTGATGCTTTTGGCATCTATAGATCACAAAAGGAACTATTTCAGCCTTTTGTTGGCACATCAGTTAGGCTTCATTTACCTGGATTGGCACTTGTAAGATTTTCTTTTCTCTTTGTGAATATTGGCTTGGCATAATTCTACAGCACTGAAATGCTCCTTACAGCTGGTGGCTCGTACTTGGGGAGAGACTGTCAGCAAGATCTGAATGCTTTCGGTTCCTTCTTATCTTCTTTTAGATGGAAGTAATTTGGGAAGACAGTGGCAATGATGGGGCTTTGTGTGAGGTTGGAGTAGAAAGCTGGAATGAGAGGGTGTGTAGAAGGAGTAGCATGCTGAGCCGGTTAGCATCTGCTAGGCACAGGAAGTGTAGGAGTAGTTCAGCTGTTCAGCCATGTGGTGGCAGCAATGCCCACAGAAAAAAAATACCTAGGGGAAGAGTCATAGTTGCTTGCTTTTCATTTTATATCTTGGGCTATACCGGAGTAATTTAGGCATGTTCTAGTACCAGCTAGGTTTCTGATGGAGCATGTGCCTCGTAAGATTTGTCTCCCAGCTGCATCTCCCAATCAGTTTTAGGGACTGCATGTTAACTCATACATACCTGTATGTGTACTTCCTTCTTTAAATAACTTGGCATTTGGAATTGCAGGAGTGCACAGTAGCCTCCCATAAACCACCAGAAATAGTTTTCTGGCTGAATTCTTGAAAAGTCTTAATAAATCAAGACTGTGCTAGAAGCAAATTAGGGGGTCTTTTAATTACAGCATAAATGGAAACAATATTTAGGTCTTAGCTAGTGAAAATTCTAAAAATAGTTATTTTTTAAAAGGACACAATATTAACATTCATCAGGGGTTTAGAATTTAGTTCACTTGTTACAGCTTTGCATGTAGCTGCTGTTTTAAGACGCTATAAAATATAAATGTATGTTAATTTTGAAACTGCAGAGGTTTATTTAAAAAAGCTTATGTAAGTAGAGTTTGTTTGTTCAAACATGAACATGTGAGATATCTAAGATGACACTCGTGGAAGAAGTAACCCTTGTAATGAAAAAAAGAATGTCACTAGGGCAAGAGATAGGAAGGAGTTGATGTCATTGCTGCTTACATTATCTTGTGTAGCACTTGGTGTGAAATGCCTGTAATTAACGATGTGTAGCACCACTGCTTGCACAGATGTCACATCTGCTCTGCAGTAATTAAATTTTTCTTGCATTTACGACATGTATTAAGTATTTTGCCTTGTTGCCCAGAACTCCAGCCTCAGTTTAGTTTTAACTTCAGTTTTGTCTGACATAGTAGCGTAACATGTTTAGTTGTTTCATTTGTGATTAGAATTGCTATATTGAAATAGATGAAATCTGAAACAGCTTCCAGAATTCTACTGTCAGTTTTGAAATCTTGTCACACTGCAATATTAATTATAATGGGTTCAAACTTACAAAGAGGAAGTTCAGGTTAGATATAAGGAGGAAGTTCTTTATTGTGAAGGTGGTGAGGCACTGGAATGGGTTGCCCAAGTAAGTTGTGAGTACTCCAACCCTGGCAGTGTTCAAGGCCAGGTTGGACAGAGCCTTGGGTGAGACGGTTTAGTGTGAGGTGTCCCTGCCCATGGCAGGGGGGTTGGAACTGGATGATCTTAAGGTCCTTTCCAACCCTAACTATTCTATGTTTCTATGATTCTAACTGTAAGTACTCCATATGACAAAGACCCTGGGTCAATTCTGTGGTTTTATAATCCTGTTTCTTTAATTCTGAAAATCTCCTGCATGACTGCCACTTCTCAACAGGGAAAACCTGTACCTGCATTTCATTTTATTGCTGTCTGAAATGCTGCTAGGAAAACAAAAACAAACCAAAACCCAATTGAGTAATAATTGGGCCTGAATTCTATTTTTGAGAGCTGGTATTGCTGTATCCTGTTATAAGCTGTTTGGAGCTCAGAATTGTAAGTTACTGGGGAAAAACCTGTGACATCTTGAAGAGATGATTAGTGTGAGTGATACCACCTTTTATTAAAACTTAAGTAAAATACCCTTACCTACTGATGGGTTGGAATTCTAGCTCTGCAAATGGCTAATTAGGGAAATCATCATGTTACTTTATAGAAGAAACTAACGGTGTCCTCCATTTAATGAGGAAAATATCATTAGATTCCATATTTCTTGGGCAGCTCTAGCAGCATGATTACACCTCAGCAAGACATACATATGCAGCACTTCCTTGTTTCAGTAATGGATTTAATCTGATACATGCACCTTGCTAATAACGGGTCTTCTTACAATTGGACTCCAGACTTTATAAATAGCAGAGCTGTTTGATTAATGTATATTCATTGCTGTGATTCTTTACACTTTAAGAAATACTTATTTTGTTAATGCTGATGTAGAAAGAGAAGGTATGTGTGCTATACTGGAATGCTTTTTATGGAAAACAGCAGCTGAACTGTAACCGTGTATTTGTCAAGGCTTTGCAGGTATCACAGTATCACAGTATGCTAGAGATTGGAAGGGACTTCAAAAGATCATCTAGTCCAATCCCCCTGCCGGAGCAGGAACACCTAGATAATGTTACACAGGAATGTGTCCAGGCGAGTTTTGAATGTCTCCAGGGAAGGAGACTCCACAACCTCCCTGGGCAGCCTGTTCCAGTGTTCCGTCACCCTCACTGAGAAGAAGTTTCTTCTCAAGTTTTAAGTGGAACCTCTTGTGTTCCAGTTTGTACCCATTACCCCTTGTCCTATCATTGTTTGCCACTGAGTAGAGCCTGGCTCCATCCTCGTGACACTCCCCCTTTATATATATATATACACTAATAAGGTCACCCCTCAGTCTCCTCTTCTCCAAACTATAGAGACCCAGGTCCCTCAGTCTTTCCTCATAAGGGAGATGCTCCACTCCCTTAATCATCTTAGTTGCCCTGCGCTGGACTCTCTCCAGCAGGTCCCTGTCCTTCTTGAGCTGAAGGGCCCAGAACTGGACACAATATTCCAGATGGGGTCTCACCAGGGCAGAGTAGAGGGGAAGGAGGACCTCTCTCGACCTACTAACCATCCCCCTTCTAATACACCCCAGGATGCCATTGGCCTTCTTGGCCACAAGGGCACAGTGTTGGCTCATGGTCATCCTGTCATCCACTAGGACCCCCAGGTCCCTCTCCCCTACACTGCTCTAACAGGTCGTTCCCCAACCTATACTGGAACCTGGGGTTGTTCCTGCCCAGATGCAGGACTCTACACTTTCCCTTGTTATATTTCATCAAGTTATTCCCTGCCCAACTCTCCAGCCTGTCCAGGTCTCGCTGGATGGCAGCACAGCCTTCTGGCGTGTCAGCCACTCCTCCCAGCTTAGTGTCATCAGCAAACCTGCTGATAGTACACTCGATTCCCTCATCTAAATCGTTGATGAATATATTAAATAATACTGGTCCCAGTACTGACCCTTGAGGCACTCCACTAGTTACAGGCCTCCAACTAGACTCCGCCCCATAGACTACAACTCTCTGGCTTCTCTCCTTCAGCCAGTTCGCAGTCCACCTCACTACCTGATCATCCAGACCACACTTCCTCAATTTAGCTGTGAGGATGCTGTGGGAGACTGTGTCAAATGCTTTGCTGAAGTCAAGGTAGACCACATCCAACTCTCTGCCATCATCCATCCACCGTGTTACTTCCTCATAAAAGGCTAAGAGATTGGTCAAACATGATTTCCCCCTGGTGAAGCCATGTTGACTGCCCCTCATAACCCTCTTATCCTTGATATGCCTTAAGATGGCACCAAGGATAAGGTGTTCCATCACTTTCCCAGGGATGGAGGTGAGGCTGACCGGTCTGTAGTTACCCGGGTCCTCCTTCTTGCCCTTTTTGAAGACTGGAGTGACATTTGCTTTCCTCCAGTCCTCAGGCACCTCTCCCGTTTCCCAAGACTTGGTAAAGATGATGGAGAGTGGTCTAGCAATGACTTCCGCCAGTTCCCTCAGCACCTGCGGGTGCATCCCATCTGGACCCATGGATTTATGGATGTCCAGGTTGCTCAACTGGTCTCTAACCTATTCCTCATCGACTAAGGCAAACTGCTCCATGGACCTGACTTCATCTGAGGTCTCAGGGGTACAGGGCTCTTCAGGACTGCCTGCAGCAGAGTAGACAGAGACAAAGAAGGCATTCAGTAACTCTGCCATCTCTGTATCTTCTGTCACCAGGGCACCCATCCCGTTCATCAGTGGGCCTACATTGCCTCTGGTGTTAGTTTTATCTGCCATGTATTTGAAAAAGCTCTTTTTGCTGTCCTTGACCCTTCTCGCCAGGTTTAATTCTAAGGAGGCCTTAGTCATCCTAGCTGCCTTCCTACATCCTCTAGCAGCAGCCTTATATTCCTCCCAAGTGGCCAGCCCCTCCTTCCATGACCTGTAAACTCTCCTCTTCCACTTGAGCGTACCCAGCAATTCCCTATTTAGCCACGCAGGTCTCTTGGCC